CGTGCTGCTCACCGACGCGCTTGTCAGAGTGGCGCTGCTTGGCGTGGTGTTGCTGGCAGCGGTCGTGGTCGCTCGTACTGCTCACCGACGTGCTTGTCAGAGTGGTGCTGCTTGGCGTGGTGCTGCTGGTAGCGTTCGTAGTCGGGCATCTCGCGGTGCTGCTCTCACTCGTACTGCTCACCGACGACGTGTTCTTCAGAGTAGTGCTGCCCTTCGTGGTGCTATGGCCAGATTGCACCGTTTTGCCCCCCTGATGAACTCGTTCGGTGGGCAAGAGCCTGCTGGGCGACTCGGTGGAGGTGTCCGAGCTCGGTGACATCGACTGAGCTCTAGTTTTGCGCCGTATGACCGAGGGGCACCCTGCTGCGCCCGCATTGTCAGCACCACCCTCCTCGTCCTCGTCCTCCTCCTCCTCCTCCTCGTCCTCCTCCTCCTCCTCCTGCTCCTCCTCCTCCCTCTTCAGCGTTGGGAAGCTCGGGGCCTGCACGCTGCAGGGTGCCCTTCTCCTGAACTCGAGGAGCCCGGCGCCGCCTGCAGAGATCCTCCCGCTGGGCGGCGGGCGCGCATGTCTCGGGCCGAACGGACGGGGGGGGATGGGGAAAGCGGGGGCTGCACGTGGGTCACTTCTGATTATTCGAAAAGCCTCTGGGCCTCTTCCTGGCCACTGGGGGGCCAGGAACAGTTAGAGACGAGGCCAATCAGAGATGAGCACGATTAGACATGAATGACGTTGGTCATTTCTAATTCTTCGAAAATCCTTTGGGCCTCTTCCTGGCCTTCTGGGGGGCCAGGAACAGTTAGGGACGAGCACAATCAGAAACGAGCACGATGAGAAACGAACGACGTGCTCGAGATGATTAGGAACGATCAGAAACGATTAGAAGCGAGCGCAATCAGAAGTGAGCACGATGAGAAATGAATGACGTGCTCGAAATCTGCTGCATGCCAGCTGGTCTCGGCCCCGCCGCCGGGCCCGCTCCTCGACCGCCGGGCGCGCGGGGCGCGCGGCCCGGGTGGCAGCGCGTGCACCCGGGTGGCTCCGCGCTCGGCCCTCCTGCGGGGGCCTGGCCTCGCCGGGGAGGCCCCGCCCTGCCAGCAGGGCCAGCGCCCAGGCCGCCTCGGCGGGGGGTCGGAGAGGAGGAGGGGGAGGAGGGGGAGGAGGAGGAGGAGGAGGAGGAGGAGGAGGAGGAGGAGGAGCAGGAGGAGGAGGAGGAGGCGGAGGAGGAGCAGCAGGAGCAGCAGGAGCAGCAGGAGGAGGAGGAGGAGGAGGAGGAGGAGGAGGCTAAGGGTTCGAGGTTTCCGCGCGTTGCCGTTGGCTCTCGGCGTCTCTAGCTTCAGGGTGCTCTCCAGCGGGTGTGCCTCGCCGAGGGCGTTCCGGGGGGGCCCGGGTCTTCCCGAACGGCCGCCGGGCTGTTTTGGCCGGACCTTTGGGTCTTCCTCACGGGCACGGTGAGGTCGCCACTGGTCTGCTGAGTGGTCGGCGTCCTCCTGGCTGTGGTGAGACAAAAAGAAAACGAAGCTATGTCTCGAAAGCCAGTGGGGACGGGGACAGGCTCAGGGGGGGACGCATCGACTCCAAATCACCCTCGATCGCCGGTTTGGGCCCGATGTCCCAAGATGGAACGGTTTTGCTATCGGGGTTGCGCTGTTTCAATTAGTTTCAGTTTTGAGCACCAGAAGGGATTTCGAGCACCGAGAAAGCACCGAGGGCCCCGAAGGGCGACCCCCCTGGGAAAATTGTTACGTGTCGGGCCCTGGGAGGCGATGCTCGTTCGACATTTCGCCAGCGTTCCGGGCAAACACTGTTTTGATACTGTTCTGGGTGCTCGAGGTAAACTTGGGGATCTGGTCCTCTAGTGCCACGGGATCGGCATAAGATCGGGGGCCTATCACCGTTTCATCCGAGATGTATTGCCGATCCCGGGTCGATGTTTCCCCCCTGAGCCAGTCTCCCCCTGAACGTTCTTTTTCGTATGTGCGCAGCACAGTCACGGAAGGGCATGTGTGCGTGCCGTCTTCTTGCGGCGGCAGTTCGTTCTGGTGGACCGCTGCAGTGCAGAGGAGAGGTGGCGCCAGTGCGGCCAGGAGTCCAGGGCCCCCAGGTTTGGCTCCTTTATCTCTTCTAATTATTCGGTCATCGCTCCTCATCCTCCCGCACCTCTTGCTCCTCGTGTCTCCTTCCATTGCATCCCCCTGCTCCTCCCCCGCCTCCTGGTCGATCTGGTACCTGGTCTTATTATCATGATGTTCTTCGTTCTCACAATCCGTCTTTTCAGCCTCGCCAGATCCTTTTTCATTTTATTGAATCGCTTCGCTCATTCCGCAGGCCCGTGGGGGCCTCTTGGGGGCCTCTTAGGGCCTCCAAGAGGCCTCTTGGGGGCCTCTTAGAGCCTCTTGGGGGCCTCTTGGGGGCGTCTTGGGGGCCTCCTGAGGGCTCTTGGGGGCCTCTTGGGGCTTAAGGGCCTCTTGGGACTTCCTGGGGGCCTCTCAGAAACGAGGGCTCGAAATGTTGTTTCGTGCTCCCCCTCTGGGGCCGCTCTTGGGGCGCTCTAGGGGCCCTCTTGGGCCGTCTTGGAGGCCTCTTGGGGCGGTCTTGGAGGCCTCTTGGGCCGTCTTGGGACGTCGGGAAGCCGAAAAGGTGGCAACACCAAAATCTGTCCAAAACCTAAGGAAAAGCAATGATGTTTGCATCTTGGGGCCCTCTTGAGAGTGCTCTTGGAGGCCTCTTGGGGCGTCTGGGGGCCATCTTGGGCGTCTTGGAGCGATCTTGTGGCATCTCGGACCCTTGGTGTACCATCTTGGGGGCCTCTTGGGCGCTCTTGGCTCTTCTTGGGACTCTCTCTTGGCCCTTCTTGGGACTCTCGGGGACGTCTCGGGGCCCTGTTGGTGCGCTCCTGGAGCGCTCTGAGGGCTTCTCCCGGGACCTTGCCGGGGTACTTTTCGTCCGGGGACCCCCAGGGGCCGCACCGCGCGCGCGAACTAAAAATACTGTGAACCAGTTACCGGAGATCTTAGCACGCCTCTGGCCCGTTGGGCCGGCGAATTTCGCATCCACCAAGCATCCCAACATGTTGTCCGGCGTGCCAGGTGACATCAGATCGGTGAGCATGCGTGCATTCGTGTCGGCGGAGTAAGCGAACGAAAAACAACAAGCACGACATAATAAGGATGCATGTGAGGAGATGAAAAGGGAGAACGAGGAGAAGTATTGCACCATTCCTTCGTATCCTCCTCCCCGTCTTGCCATTTTCGGAACTTCATAGAAGCCCGTCAGAACTCACCACATTCCTTTGCAGAAACTCTGATCTCAAAGACATGCATGACACCCAACGGAACACCTGCAATGGTAATCAGCCCCCCCCTCCATTCCACCCTCATCGGCCCCATTTCCTGATGTAGAACTCATAATCGCCGTATCAACCGAACTCTTGGTTCGGCGATCCTGGTGCTTCGTCGGAAACGCCGTCGCAAGCAAGGCCCTAAAGCATGATCACGCGCTAAGGCGGATGAAAAGCGGGTGGTTCTCAGTGTGTGGTTTTTGTATGCGTGTTTGCGCATGTGGTCGCAACGTCTGCAAGAGCTCCACGGGTGGTGTTCAGTTCACCTCCAGACGCACCCTTCAGACAACTTGCGGTGGTCACAATGAAGGGCGTATGATATCCGACATGCAGCTCTCGCCATGGCGCCGCGCCCATCCCCCCTCAATGCTCACAGCAGCCGCGTAGATCGAGGACGGCGCATGGCTAATAGCTGTCCGTGACGTGGCATTTCTTCCAAGCGCATGCGATCAAAGCTTGAAGTCCCCAGCAGCTGAACAGCTGGAAGGTCGTCCTTTTCTTGAGTCGTTTTCTTGCGGTTGACATCATTCCATTGTATGATCGTAGATATTAGGACACACGACAGTCCCACAGCTGGAAGGCGGTCCTTCAACATGTGTCTCTCGCGTTTGGCTCCTTTCAGGACCCTTCGAATTTCGTGGCACTGGGGCCGATACAGTATATACACGCTGGTGGAAGGTGGCCCTCTTGTGAAGGTCGAGGGCCGCGCCATGCACCGCGGTGTCATTGTCGAAGGCGCGTGCAAGTATGAAGAGAACATCGACGACCTTTGGTTGCATCTCTACTCGATAGTGTCGAGGGCGGCGACCGTGGACAATCTCCTGATGATGCGCGACCCCGGCCTGGATTTCCTGGCCCGCGGGCCGCCAACAGACCAGGCGGCGCGCCATCGAGCGTTCAGCTCCCGCACTGAAGGGTGCAGGAAGGAGGCAGAGAAGCTGGCTGGCGAGCTAGGCTTCGCTCGCTTCTTGCATTTAAGCAGGCTTAGTCATGTCGAGCGCCGCTGCAACATGGTGCAGGCAACGCTGCGTTTTTAGCCTGCCACCGACAAAAAGCATTATTTTGTCTCTTCCCGTCGCCCGTCGCTTTCGTCGTTGCCCACCTCCCCCTGCCACCTTCTTTCTGATGCTGCCGCGTTGACTGTTCGGCCCCCCATCGCGCCCTTCTCCTGCTGTTCGTTCCCGCGCGCATGTCCTCTTCGAGCCTGGGTCTTCGTTCCTCGTCCTTCAATTGCGGTCTTGTGAACCATGCCACGTGCGTGTATCCCGCGTGGCTTACACAACATATAACGGCGCGTGCACCGTCATTGTCATGGCAAGTTTGGGCCAGACCCTTTTTGTCGCTTAGTGCAAATGGGTTGGGCACGTCCCAGGGTAATGTTTAAGGAAAAGGGGGGGAGGAGGAAAGAAAAGGCGGAGGATGTGGAGGAAGAGGAGGAGGAGGATAAGGGGGAAAGGGAAACGGGAGGAGGTGCTCCTCATCGTTTTCCTCCTCGTCGTCTCGAGGACTGCCTCCTCCTCCTCCTCCTCCTCCTCCTCTTCTCCTCCACCTCTTCCTCTTCCTCTTCCTCCTCCTCCTCCTCCTCCTCTTCTTCTTCTTCCTCCTCTCCCTTTGCCTCCTCATCCTCTGCCTCCGCCTCCTCGCCCTCCCCCCTTTCTCGAGGACTGCATCCCCCGCGCGCACTTCGACACCTTCCCCTGGGGCGTCGTCACGGTCTTCCAGGCTGGGCGCCCGGCCCCGGCGGGCGAGCAAGCAGGGGGGGGGTCCTTTGTCGCCGACACGACAGGTGGGCGAGGGAGGTGGATGGGGCGGGGGGGAAGGGGGGAGCGAGGGAGAGGAGGTGGCGGAGGGGGAGGGAGAGGAGGGGGGGCGATGGAGGGGAAGGGGGTGAGGGAGGGGGAAGGAGAAGAGGGAAAGGAAGGGGAGGGGGACGGACGATTAGGCCTTTCGGCTCCCTACCTCCGTTCAATGAAACTATCATAGTGGTACTTGGTATGGTAGATCGGAGCATGGTGCGCCACTGTGTCAGTATAGGATTTCGTGGCACAGTGGGCAATGAGAACTACAGCCAGTGCGCGAGTTGGCATGGCAGGCTGTCATAATTTGCCACCAATAAATGTCGAATGTTGCAATTACATGAGGACTTTCGTGGCATGTCAGGAAACAACGTCGCATGAGTTGTTGTTATATTCGTCCATCAGTAGTAAAGCGTGCCGTAGGGATACTGATTCGGTCATACGCAGGCGCAGTCCGCACGCGTATGGATACTACATCAGCGCGTCACCATCGCAGCCCTAGGCCTCTACATTCAGACCGTGACATCGATACGTGATTAATCACATGTTATGGCAATTCATATGACAGCCTCTCATCGCAAAACATGCCACGATGTAACATCATGTAGTTTTGGGTAACATAGCACGGGGACGCAAGGAACCCAAGGATCCCAAGGAACCCGAGGAACCCAGGGAATTCCCAAAACAAACTTCGGAGCGACTGGGTGTGGAGAGCAGCGGTCGTTTGGGAAAACCCGAATCGGGGATGTCGGGGCCCTGGCCAGGTGTGGGGCCCTCGCGCGAGGACCGCAAACCCAAACCGCTCCCGAGAAACACGTGCGGGCGGTTCGTGCGAAATGCGCGCTCGTGGGCCGTCAGGGAGAAGAGGCCCGTGGACCGTCCGGTGAGGAGCAACGAGTCGTCGGTGGCGGCCACGGCGGCGGGGGGCACGCGGAGGAGAAGAGAAGGAACCGAGGTCATGAGCGGCGAGAACTGGAACACGATCATGTATGCGGGGATGCGGGCGTCGGAGCGGTGGCCCGTGCCTCGGCCGCTCGCCACCTCGTCCGGCAGAGGAGGAGGCATGGCAAGGGCGGGATGCTTCGAGGCGTGGGTCGAAGACGCGCGCGCTGCTTCTACACACCTGGTCTCTGTAATAGCGGTGGGCGCGATGGCGGCAGGCACTCTCGCGCTGTTCGGTGTCCAGGTTGCTGGTTGCGTCCTTCCAGTGCGTAGAGGCTTGGTGGTCAAAGGGTACCTTTCAGAGGCGTCCTGCCAGGCTGCAGCATGCTTTCTCGCCTCTCGTGGTGTCATCCGAATGATGTTGGGAGTCGCGTTCTCTCGTTTTGGATTTTGTGATCTGGGCTCAGCGTCGTCATTTGCGGGTGTAGATTTATTAAAATGTCCAGTTGCAGAGTTATTTCAAGGCGAACGTTGCGGGGGATCGCGGCCTGTTCATCCTCATGATCCTTTCCCGTCATACTTTTTCAATTTTCTTGGTTGAGAGCAGCGATATTCGAAACGCTTCAATTGTTTGGGAAATTCCGCGTTCAGACTCCGCTGGTCAAGTTGGGCGGTGAGCACGACACAAAGGCAGCCGACTCATTGCCTGAAGCCTTGATTCTTCCCTGTTAACGATAATTTGCGGGTTTTGTCCCGGTGCCGTGGGCTCTCTTCTCTTCGCGTGACTTGTCAGTTTAGTCGTTTGCCCTTTTAGCTCGGAGGTTGGTAGGAACCTGACCCTGCCAAGTCGATTAGTGAATTGGTATGCTCTGGTTCTCGAGAGGCCGTTCGGCCGCAATGTTGGCGAACCTGCGCCCGCTGGGTCTGGTCCCAGGTCGTTTTTACCAGAAGTTGGTTTGCTAAAGAAGATTATGGACGACACATTTTTGTTCGGGCATGTTGTGATTGTCGTTGGTTGCTGCATGCGCCGCGCCTGCTCCGCTGGACGCAGTGGCCAGCAGAGGCAAACGACTAAGAGCATGATGATGAGGAGGAGGAGGAGGAGGAGGGCGAGCAGGACACAAAGAGGGGGACGAGGTTTGAGCGTGATCGCAGGAGGATAGGGTTTGTGAAAGCAGTGCCAGTGGGCTTTGTACCATATCTTGTTAGAGCGTTCGCCAGCCTGCCGGCGAGCGCCTATGCGCACCGTGGCTTGGCCGCTTGCCAACAAAACAAGGCGGAGGATTAGTACAAATGAAGTAGACGGAGGAAAGGATGAGGAGGAGGCGGAGGGAAGCGACTGAAGGAGGATGAGGAGGAGGAAGGAACAAAGGATGGGGAGGGGAGAGAAAACAGGATATGAACAATTTTGGCTGAAAACCTCCCCCAAGTTCCCTCTTCGTCGACCCCATACAAGAATGTATTCTCATTACGGGAAGTGCCCCATTGGAAGACAACCGTCTGAGAATCCTCAACCGTGCGAAACACCGTTCCTGGAACTTCAACCCCGCGAGTCAACATGATTGCTGCGTCCTGACAATCTTGAATCGCACTATAACGCAAGTCCTAAGACTTCAACACCGCGAATCACCGTCACTGTTGCATCCTGACAGCCTTAAATCGTGCCAGACCACGATTCCTGGGACATCAGCCGCACGAATCTGTGAACATGATGCATTTTGTTAAGACGAACGCGCGCGGCGCTACGGCGAGAGCAACATGTTGAAAAGCAGCCGCCCTCCACCCTTGAACCATTTTGAAATGGACACGCCCTCCATCCTTGAAGCTGCCGCACACGTCAAACTTCAGGATTATGAATGGTGAGGACGTCTCTGTCGACAGTCCTGGCCCACCCTGCCTGCACGTCCGTCTGTTGATGATGCTGAAGATGATGACAATTCTGACTGATGATGTGAATGGCTATAAGTATGCTGCTGTCGCCGATTATGATGATGATGTTGATGACGACGACGGCGTTGATGGTGATGGTGACGGTGACGGTGACAGTGATGGTGATGGTGATGGTTATGGTAGTGGTGATGGTGATGGTGGTGGTGATGATGGTGTTGATGACGTTGATGACGGGGGTGATGATGCCGATGGTGATGGTGATGTCGACGCACGCTGCAGGCTGTGGCGTGGGCTCGTTCGAGAGTAGATCGGCTCAGCACTTCCATGGCCGTCACGGGGTACCATCCGAGGCTCGAGGCTCGAGGTCCGGCACCAGGGGTCCTAGTTCGAGATTAGAGGATCAATAATTTAGATTGATGTAAGTGTTTGGCGCTTTTGGAGGCCTCCTGGTGCGACCTCGTCACCACGGCTGGATCCGCTTCGAGACCTTGGTCAGAAAGCACACCCGGGGAGGTCTGGGGGCAGCGTCCTTCCGGGTCGAGGTTCGATGATCGAACACATGGCTCCGAGCTCGATGTTCGAGGGTGGGGGACCGGCGGGCCCGCGGACGCCGCCGAGGGCCGCCAAAGGCCGCCAGAGGTCGCCGAAGGACGCCGACAAGGGCCGCCGACGGCCTCCAGAGGCCGCCGCCTCCCCCTGCGGCCGCGGGGCCCCGCCGCCCCCGGCGTGCCAAGTGCCGGGAGGTGTGGCCACCCGTCGCCCGTCGGGCAGGGCTCGAAGCCCTTGAGCACCATACACGTCTAATACAGCGGCAATTGTTGCACAGCTACGTGGCTGCAGCACGTGCAGCAGCTCGGCTACGACAACAGCGACTCACCACTCGGTCCACCTGTGAAGCAAAATGCATACATCTGCCATGAATGTGGTCACACATCTCACAGAATACGGGAGTGGTTTCGCACCGCACAACAAAAACATCCACAAGCAAATGAGACAGCCAACAAAGTTGAAGGGAGCACCTGCCTAAGCTGTCACAAACAATTTCACTCCCGACAACGACTATTAACCCGTCTTAGATATAGAGAAGCAAGATGCAACCACTATTGCGCTCAGCACGTAGCAACGCATACGACAGACGCAGCCACAGCATAAGGACATAATGAGGAAGCGGAAAACAAAACCAACAAAGACACAGGACTACGACCCGACGCAACAACAATATCAGCAAAAATACCAACAGGCTACAAGAGACAACCCAACCTAGACGGTAATTCCACCGTGTTATGCCACCAACAACGACTACTACCATCACTCCACAAAAGCAAGCTCCACACGTCACCAAGACGAACCCTACTTACATACCACTTTCATTTAAAGACACGCGACACTACCACGACACCTAGCACTTCCTGAAGACCAACCCAGCAACACAGCATTACACCTACATTAGCATCGACTCTAGCAACGATTCACGTTTCGACTTAGCAACACCAGAAGTAACCGACACGAGGATACGCAGAATCACGTAAGGACGCGTATCAACCGTCAATCGCAAACCCAAAGAGGGCACATGGTCAAACAGAGGCTCCTACCGCACAACAGCACAGCTTTGGGGTACGCCCAATCATTCCATATCCCAACTGGAAAAAGTTCGCATCGCCAACAAGGATCCAACACATGAGCATGATGCTGACTGACACTTGCTGAGCACACCAATATCATAGCAGCTTTCATTACGAAGCAATCATGCTGGCACACATCAGCACCCACCACATAGCAAATGCCATACATACGTCAAACCACCACCGCGACACAGCACACCAATTCGACCAATGCGTGCTCGGCAAACCCACACAAGCGCCAATGAGATTTCCAGCGCTCCACTTACCGAGCCTTACAACTGCTAGTTCACAGAGAACTAACAGAAGCATGTGCTCATGCATGACACATAACCTCGCTGCGTACACAAACAAATTAGCAGCTTCTGCATACCCGAAGAGCTGGTCCACCTGATAACGGAGTGTCTAGCATTACGACTCACACTTCTGAGCAACCACAGCCACCAGCAAGTCACAGCGGTCACCTACCATTGGAGTCATATTTGGAACGCCACATACCAGAACAAGGAGACCACATCGACACACGCACGAAAGCAATAGCATCGTACGTTCGCACGGCAGGCAAACGACTACCGACTACGTGCACGCCGAGCACCACGCAGCACTACAGCAGCCAACAACGACTTCAGCATGCCTCATACCCGGCCGGCATGGGAGCGAATGCGGGCACACTTCGGGGAGAGGCTAGGCAGTTTTGCTTATCAATTCAGTATGATACGTTTCTTGTTGCAACCAGCGACGGCATCCGATGTGCGAGTTGTGGCATTTACGCTGCTGTTGCTGTATGTTCAACAGTATTGGTTTGTGTCGATGATGTGTCACTTTCATTGTGCGATGCCACGCCTTGTGCATTACCATCCACGCCTCTATAGCGAGACGTACATACCAAGCAGCCACACCGATTCACACGCCGTCTAACAGCGCGCTTACATACCAAAGCTTCAGCAACAGCAGCAATCTTTGGTCTTGGGAAGGTTTAGACAAGTGGCCTGGGAAAGGGGCTCGCGATACACATGGCCTGCACAGGCCTACCCACGCACTAGAAAGCTGCCTCATGCACCTGCGATGCACCATGCGACAAGAAGAGGCAACACATGCACCTTGGACCAGTTTTTTGAGAAAAAACAGACAGTCGATGCATCAATTATTGCTTTGACTTCGATGCTTTCACCATCCAAGAAGAATATTCATTTGCTGGTCGTGCACTGCAGTGGCTTCTTCTGGCTCCGTGACCTGCATGTATGATTGGCACACTGAACTCTGTCACTCGCAGCACGCGATCCAGCGCGCGACGCAACGCAGCACCCACAAACACCGACCAAGCACCAGCTGATAAGCACAACCACAACAACACATTGCAATGTATTCGCGCAACGACCATGGCTCCTAGCCAGCGCCACCACGACGGCCTCATACCTGAAGGAGCCTACAGGCGCACTTCAGGGAGAGGCGAGAGAGCGCAGCCCACCCCGTACCTGGCATGGGAGCCTACTAGGCTTGCGTTCAGTTTTCGGCCTCCGACAGAATGGAAGCCTACATTTATATGGAGCCGTTTTTTCCAACGCATTGCCGGCGCGCTCGCGCCGCGCCTGGCGCGGGGGCCGCGAGGCGCGCCTCGGGAAGGGG